ATACACACACACACACACACACACACACACACACACACACACACTCAATAAACAAGAGCTCTTTGGAGTCCTCAAATATTAAATCCTGGGGCCAAAAGTTTGAGAACTGCTTTTAGAGAATATTCATGATTCCCCCAAATGAACATCTAGCCGAATGAGTGTTCCTGAGCCATGAGATTTTTCCCGATGTTATGGTAAGTTTTCAGTATCTGCTACTGTATGGGTTGCTTTTTCATTACACATGTGTGCACACTTCCCTGCAAGACATTGTTTTATTACGGGATAAGGCTAAAGAAAATACACAATACATCTAAACTGCATGAACATCAAAGCAATGTTATCTAACACAAAAGCTTCCATGTGCCTGCAGTGTATTCTCCAGCTTCTCAACTGGATTGCGGGCAATTTATAAATTCTTTCTAGTCTTGGGTACACATGTACACAAATCGTTACAGCATATATCCACAGTCAGAACTCAGATAATGACTAGATGCAAGTCTTTTATGGTGGATACACTGTTTAATGAAATCTCCACCTTTTGTGTAAAATATACAAGAAGAAATCAAAATTCTACCTACACGCTTTGTTATTTCATATATGTTGCTGAATGAGAAATGAAAGGTGTAACTTACAGACTGACCACCATCAATAAAGTATCTAGAATATAAATGAGTATCATAATTAACCCCTGATGATACTGGCTTTGCTTTGGATGGATTCACATCGTACCTAAATGCTCATCAACATCCTCTTCACTTATCAAAAAAGGCAGTGGGTGGACGGAGGGGCTGTTTAGCAATGCACACGTTAAATATAGAAATAATTTTGTATTTGGAATGAAGAAACCTAGCCTCTCGTCTTGGCTAAAAAGCAATGTGGCAAAGCTGTCTCCTCTCACAAGACTTTGTTAGGTTTCTGGAGTGGGTAATACCTCGGTTCTTGGCTTCGCACGCTGAAAGAATTCATGCTGAAGCACGTTTTGTAATCCAAGTGAGTTTTTATTAAGGGCAGGACGTTTCAGGTTTTACAGTCTCAACAGGGTACACACGATTTCTGGACAGCGTGCCAAGCCCCGTGGAAGCAGCGCTGGGGGTTCACAACTGGGCACGAACCACCACGTAGGAAAAATCACTCGGAGGAGGTTGGAAAGAAATCGGGCAGCCTGTGGATACTTAAGGGTAGACCCCCAAACCAAGCATGCACAGACTAGGACCTCTCTTTGGGGGCCCTTGCAGGCATGGAAGGGACAAGCCCCCTACCCCAAGCTAGCTACCTAACACCTTCTTTAAAATAAGCTTAAAAATGATCTCTGTGTGCTGCGCGTATTACCAAATGAATGCAACAGGTACAACTGTCTCAAGTCCGAGTCACCGAATTAAAACGGGTTTGTACCCATTAAGCGTCAAAAAAAATTGTGGGAAAATTCTTTATCTTTCGATTCCATTTCTCCTGAGCTTTTAGAATCGCCCCCCACCCCCAAGAAGCCCTCACCTTACTTATGTGAAAACCGAAAATTTCCTTACACTTACTGTGTCAGTGCGCAGTCCTCCCGGACACATCTATCCCCGTCACAGCTCCGTGGGCCCCGCTCGCTGCTAAGACGAGGACCAGAAGGATGGACGCAAATGAGTTAAGAAATGGGCCCGGGTCGCCGGTGGCTCTGACCTCGCGACAAATGCCTAGTCGCGTCCGCCGCGACGCGATACCCACAAGGCCGGCCTGCGCGCCGGCAGGAGCCCGCGGTACTCACCTGCCGACTCACTTCACACAGCAAACGGGCTCGGCGCCCTAGCCCCGCTCTCCGGCGAAAGGCCCGATTCCCAGCAGGCGGTAGAAGAGTTCTTGTCGCTTTCCGGCAAAGGAGACGCAGCCCCGCCCTGGCCGTCGCGACAATGTGACGTCACGGGCGCCGGGCGCCTCGCGCAGGCTCAGTTGACGTCAGCGGACTTGGTACTCTCTCCCAGGTACTCCGGAACTGTTGTCACGGCGCCTGCTGGACTCCTGGCCAGAGCTTGTCGTGGCCGGGCCTAGGGAGTGCGGGGAGGGCCGGGAGGTGGGCAGTAAGGACCGAGAGCGGCTTGGAGGCCCCTCTCCTTCCTCCGTGTATCCTGTAAAGATCGACTTCACTTTTGGCAGCTAACAATTTTCCTACATTTATACTTTGTACGTTCCATGTTCTGATTAATAATAGATGCTTGCAAGCTGTTGCTTCTCCTGTGGAGTTCGTGCCCCATCATCAAATGAAGGGCCCTAAAGCTTTATTACATATTAAGATCGAAGGGGCAACTCTTCGCCGGTTGTATTTTGAATGCCTTCGAACCTCAGGAGGAGCCCTGGCGACCTCATCGGTTACACGTTGCAATCAGCATTTCAAGACTACACCACCACTAGCCACCAGTCGTTCTGGGGAGAAAAACTAGGCTTTCTACTCCTGTAAAGAATGACAGCCTCTGCAAAGAGTATAATCAATGGCACTAATTATACACGTTGAATTGGAGAATGTTTTGTTGTATACGGTTTGCCCACAATTAAAAAAAATTACATGACAACAGTACAAGAAAGAAGAAAATGTTCTAAAATTGATTGTGGTAATGAATGTACAACTCGATATGATTGAATTATTGAATTGTATGGCATGTGGATGAATTACAAATAAAATGGTTAATAAATAAATGAGTTACAGTCATGGAAACTCACAGGGACAGTTCTACTGTGTCCTATAGGGTCGCTCTGAGTTGGCATTGACTGATGACAATGAGTTTGGTTTAAGTTTGCCAACCTGAGGGCTCATCGCCCAGGACCATATCAGACAAGTTCCTGCTGTTCTAGTGTTATTTAAAGGCTTCTAGTGGCTAATCCCTTAGATGTGGACTGCCTCTTCCTTCTTCCAAGTGTGTTTTTAATCTGGATAGGCCACTGAAATCTGTTCATCCTGGGTGATGGCCCTGCTGGTATTCGAAATATTGGCAGCCTGACTTCCAGCATCATGGCAGCACACAAGCCACTGCAATGTGACAAACAGATGGGTGAGGGATAGATAACTGCCATCAAGCTGATTTTGATTCAAAGTATCTTGATAAAAGGCACTTTAAAAAATCTAGTATTCATTCTTAATGATTAAACATTAGAAGCACTCCGATTAAGGTCAAGAAAAAGCATAACTCTCCACTTCGAATAGTCAACATTGTGCTAGGTTTTCCACTTCATGCAATAACACAAGGAAAATATTATAAAAAGGGAAAATATTCATGTGTAAAAATTAAAACAAGCCCACTATGTCAAGGTGAACTACTACATAGTATTTCCAAGTCTTTACTGGGAAGGAACCCAGTGGGCTTAGTGGGCTAGGAATTGAGCTGCTAACCACTTCAGTGGTTTGAATCCATGGGCTAAGGATGAGATTGTCTACTCCTGTAAATATTTAAGCTTTTAAAGCCTTGGAAACCCACAGGGCCAGCTTAACTCTGTTCCACAGGGTCCTTGTGAGTAGGCATCGACATGGCAGTGAGTGAAGCAGACTGCCTCATCTTTCTAACCCACCATCACAACTGGCAGGTTCAAATTTTTGGCCTATCAGCAGCCCAAAATTTAATCCACTGTGCCACTGTGCTCCTTCATTCTGTGAAAATTATATTATTGTCTTCCTAAAGTACAAAAGAATGAAATGACAACCAATGACAGGCCATAAGATAATTCAGCAGGTGGCTAAATAAATTAATATATAAGAACTTACTTTTTCGTACGAGAGGGCTTCAAAAAATTCATGAGGAAAATGCCCCTCGTTCATCAGTATGTCAACACTCCCAGGATATGAACGTCTAACTTGTGTATAATCAGTAGTGATGAGTCAAGCTCCCACCTGCAAATCTATTATACTAAAAATGTTGATGTACATATAATGATTCATAATAAAGAATGGGGCTTTGAGACAAAATATGTGAACTGTTAACTGTAGAATAGTTGATCTGCTCTAAGTTTTAAAAAGTAAATAAAGGTATGATTGTGATCAGAGTTGTACGAGCCCCCAATAAAATGATTTTTTTAAGTAAAAAATATGTTCAAATAATTGGGGCTATTTTGAAATACATCTTAAGACATAATTATTGCTGTATTATTATGTTAAGAATGTTTAATGTGTCTAGAACTGTTTCATTAATTTTTTAATATATAGAAAGATACACTATAAACTATAAGAAAACATTAGATATCAATGGTACTAACTTTATTATTTATATACAAAATCAATTTAGAGATAAATTTAGGAATGGAGCTTATTTCTAGTAACCTAAAGACTGTCTGAAATACAATAAAATAGAAAAAAAATACTTCATCCTAAAGTACCAACATGACATATCAATAAATACATGGAACATTTATTTTTTTTTCTAGCTCTATTTTAGTATGACCAGGTTCTATATTTTTAAATTAAGATTTTCTTTGTGAAGTATATTATCAGTGTTTATGTATTGCATGGACACAAAAAAATATTCTTGTAATTGAAAAGTGTGAATGCCTCTATTATATCAAGCTTACTGGTTTTAGTATTCAGGCATTTATTGGTTTTAGAATTCAGATCCCTCGATCAGACACTTACCCTTGGCGTTTCTCCCTCCACATCCCTGACTTCTTTAATCAAACATTAGTTAGTGTTTGTGAGGAACAGAAGGATTTCTCTTAAGTTGTCTCCCCAAAATATGTCCCAGACTTAGCTGCTTAAGAATGACTACAATAGGTGATCAGAGAAAGTAGGTCAGAGGTTATTTTCCTTAACATCAGCCATCTATAGTGGCTAGACTATTAGTCTGACTCACCCTAAATAAGACCCACTCCCTTCTGATAAGGATAGTGGTGGTATGTTTACTTGCAGGAGATACCAGAGAGGTCAAACCCGCCCAAGGATGACCAAGGTTAGGTAGCCATTATCATCTGTCTAGGTCAAGCAGACACCACTGTTTATCCCACAACCAATGTGGGCACACCCCTAGGTCATCCCCCTCCTATTGATTGTATTGCCTATGCCGCTACTCCTCCCAGTGACTCAGGTTATTGTCTGCTATCAGGGGACTTGCATGCCTCCCAGAATAGTAATTGTCTGCTTTATTGTATGAGACACCAGAATGATCAAACTTGTTCAAGAATGAAATGTATTGCCCCTTTCTGTGATGTATGACTCTGTAATCAGATCCCCCTAAAGTGATATGATGTGTGGTTAGCAATAAATAATGAGGCTCCATGGTTCTCAAGTGTGGCTGCCAGAAGGGTGGCTGGCGGAGGGCAGCTGAGGAAGGAGGGCTGCTTCCCGTGAGGGCGGCTCCCATGAGGACGAGAGGGCTGCTCCCGCGTGGGAGGCGGCTCCTGCTCTGGCAGCTGGGTTCCTCCCATGAGGACCACCAAGCGGGGCAGAGGTGAGCAATGCTACTATGTAATATGTCTGACTGTATTATTGTATTATCTCTCATGCTCTCGATGACTTTAATATAATGCTTATCTATCTCAACCGTACAATTGTGCATTACTGAACCCAGAAGTAGTATTACTGAACCAGTGACTCAAGCAGCGGGTGGGGCTGGCATCCCCACTCCCCCGAGCCACTTTTAATTTAATACTACAAGTGTTGAGTTCCTAGGACATACACCCACATCTTCCTACTCCATAACTCATGAAATTTAAACTTGTCAAAAAATTTAGGATTAAATTCAAAATTCTGACTTTACAAATGTTTCTAGGGGCAAAAAGAGACCATAGTTTCATATATAATTATAGATATATGTGTACTAAATTCGGGTATGACTCATGATCATGTGGCTTCATCATCCCAATTTTCATTAAAGGAACACCCAAGCAAGTCTCTAAGAGGTAGGCCCCTCCTCTCTGGACTGGCTAAGGGAATGATAGTAATACACACTCTAATGTACTCTACTTGAGGGCAAAAGCATTCTCACTCCCAGTAAAATGGTCAGGAAGAATTCAATGATAGTTAAATGTATGTGGACACACATAAATGGATTTAGGGCTTCCACTGTAACTTATAGCCTTCTGTAAACTTCGTGCTCAGAAATTTAAGCTCTGATGTAATCCCCTTCCTCTGATCATGGATTTTATTAAAAATCTTTGATCACACCTAGACTGGAGTACACATTCTACAAGGACTAAATGACACTTTCCTTAGATGACTGTTTGTCTTAAGACAAGCCTTGAAGACCCCATATGCTATTCTTTCTTATAGCCAGGTACCATAAGATTTCTTCACCACACTTTGCTCTATCTGCAGTGATCATCTCATAAGTGTAGGTACCAAAAGGGCTACATTATAAGAACTAATCGATCTCAGCTTAGGGCTTAAAATTAAGTGCAAGCTCAAAATCAATTCATATATTAGGGATATGGACCCTGTCAGAGGTACCTGAAATAATATTATGTAATCTCCATGGGACATTTGATAATTCTAATAATAGTAGCATCATCAGTATAGCCAATAGCATAGATTTAAAATTTTAATGAGAAAGGGAAATGTAGGGAACCGATTACAATGAACTATATGTGACCTCCCTGGGGGATGGACAACAGAAAAGTGGGTGAAGGGAGATGTCAGACAGGGCAAGATATGACAAAATAACAATTTATAAACTATCAAGGGCTCATGAGGGAGGGGGGAGCAGGGAGGGAGGGGAAAATGAGGACCTAATGCCAGGGGTTTAAGTGGAGAGGAAATGTTTTGAGAATGATGAGGGCAATGAATGTATAAATGCGCTTTACACAATTGATGTGTGTATGGATTGTGATAAGAGTTGTATGAGCCCCTAATAAAATGATTAAAAAAATAGAAGTGGATTAACTATGGAAC